AAAGCGAGCCCCTGATGATGACGTGTTAATCGCGCGCAATGCAGAGAGAAACGGAAAACAGCAGTGCATGAGATTAATCCATCCGTGTGTCGAGTATCATCTTGATTTAATTGATGCTCTATGTGAGTAAATGTGATGATAATCATTAATCTAGTGTCATAGGATGTGTTTGTTTCATCTTGTGCATGTGTATTTTGCGGATAGTTCGAGATGATCGAAGATGTTTGATCGCACGTGACTGCATTTTGAAATCTCTATAAAAGAGTTCGGTAAGTCAATTTTCAATGTAAAGTGCATAAGAAATGCGAATAACGTGTATAATATCCTGTATATGTTATATTTGATTCTGGTGACATGGTGTTTGAAAGCACATGATGAAAATGCTAACAGGGGTTTTGTGTTTGTGTAGGGTGCCACTACCGTGTTTGTGTTTGCTTTGAAAGTGTATTGTTTCATCCTGAAAGTGTGCCCTAACATTCGTAAATATTTGACATTGAGAAATTGACACTTTACTAAATTATCTGTTAAGATATTTTTTTGTTAATTATTCATTTTGAGTGTATATTCTTTTCCTTGGTTAAAGCATTACAGTGACCCCGTGTGGGGGATTTGAGTAGTGTGGTTGAGTGATAAATTATCACCTGTGACTTGTTGAACTACTCAGTTTAAAGCATTGAAGATCTTAAAGAACCTTTAAACAATTGATTGATTTAATAGAGGAAAAATAAAGCAAGTTGTAAAACGTGGTTCAGTGTCAATTGATTTGTTTTGTTAACTGGCAACAAAATTTGGTACCAGGAGTGGGGTTCTTTTATAAATCTATATTGCCAGTGTCAGTTAAATGTTAGTGGCACACGGGTGAGCAAACACGGTAGTGGTGAAGAGAAGCCTCTGGCGTGGAAGGAGTTTGCGGTCACTGGACGGAGTGTTCGACGCAGAATAGAGACGGTCGTTGGTTTGGGCCAGGACGTGACAGAGCCGACGGAGTGGTGAAGTGCGTTCCCTATCTGAAGTAGGCACGGATTGTCCTTTTCAGTTGCCACACTCAAGACTTTGACTTGCAACATGTCTGACTATTCGGAGGGGGAAGAGGACGACATTCGTCTGAAGTTAAGAGAACTGAGTCAAAAGCACGATGAAGCAATGGCCACACTTGAGTCTTTAAAAGGGGGGTGTAATAAGACTTATGTGTATGTACCCCGAGAACGTCACATCAGCCCATTCACAGGGGACATTGAAAAAGATGGGAGAACAGTAGATGAGTTTATAGATGAGGTTGAGCGTGCTTTAAGAGCCAGAAACATGACACCAAATGATGAGTGTGATTTTGTTATGTCTTTGCTGCGAGGTGCTGCATTAGAAGAGGTTCGATTGCGAAGCAATGTAGACACCGATATATCCACGGATATACTTACTTACCTTAGAGAGGCTTTTACTGATAGGCGCAGCAGTGCCCAACTCCTCAGGACTTTTATAGTCGTAAGCAGAAAGAGGGGGAGGATGTTCGTGATTTCTCTCATGCACTAGCTCAAGCTCTCAGTCAAATTACTAAGCGTGCACCAGAGGCTGTGGGAGATGAAAAGACGATGTTAAGAGACCAGTTTGTAGAGGGCATCCGAGACCATACCCTCAGACGGGAACTTCGGCGGTATGTAAGAGACAAGCCTGAGTCTTCTATGGTGGAAGTGAGGGAGGAAGCTTATCTATGGGGCTGGGAGGAGCAGTCTGGGAGGGTTCGGACCCCTAAAAGTCGAAGTGCTACATATGGCTCCTACAGTGAGAGTGCACACTGTGCAGAAGTAAAAGCCACGGGCCAAAACCCAGTCACTTTATCCAAAGTAATGGATGTAGTAACTCAACAGGGCAGGCAGATCCTTGAGCTAACCCAGGCAGTTAATAACTTGATGACACAACAACAGGGGGCTGGGGGCCTACGGAATAACACTCGAGCCCAGTTACGATTCACTGAAGATGGTAAGCCCATATGCCTGAAATGTCAAGAAGCCGGGCATATTGCGAGAAATTGTCCCCAGAAACGAAACGCTAAGAGACCTGCATCCCGTTCCATTGAGTCGGGAAATGTGACGCCCGGGTTGCTGTGAGTCGAGCAATCCAGGGCCAACCTGTAGACTCAAGTCAAGAAGAACTGTTGAAGCGGGCAGTGGGGACATGTCCTCAAGTGGATATTAAGGTTCTGGGCGTAGAAGTATCCTGTCTCCTGGACACAGGCAGCCAAGTGAGTACGATATCTGAAAGTTTCTTTCGACAACATTTGGGGGGTGATGATGAAGACATGCTTTCAACTGCTGGATGGCTCAAGCTGACTGCAGCAAACGGGCTGGACATCCCGTACTTAGGATATCTCGAGTTAGAGGTAGAGACGATGGGGAGGAAAATTCCAAATTGCGGCTTCTTAGTAGTAAAGGATCCTCCGCCCTCCTCAAAAGCTGTTTCCTGTATTGTGGGGATGAACATCATTAGTAAGTGCCGGCAAATAGTGCAATCTGAATTTGAGGCTCCATTTGAAGGGGGGTTAGAGACTGATTGGAGGAACGCGTTCCAGCACACACAGACCTGTGATGTTCCTAAGAGTCGTGTGGCCCGGGTAGCAGGGAGACGTATGGTGCATGTCCCAGCGGGCTCCATATCAACAGTAATGGCAAAAGGGTGGTCGGTGAATGTGAAAGATGAGAGCCAGTGGCTGTTAGAGCCAGCACACTTAGCTTTGCCAGGAGGTGTGCTGGTTATGCCGACTGTGGTAAGCTCCTACAATCACGAGAGCTCAGTCCAAGTTCTTAACCTGTCTAATGAAGATGTGTGGTTGCACCCTAGGACTCGCATCGGTGTTCTGTCTAAAGTGAAGGTGGTGGATAATAACCCAGGACACGAGGTAACATTCCAACGTATTTCTGTGAATGCAGAAGAGATCTCTATGGGGGCCAAATCACCATCAAGGCAAGAGCAGTGGTCTAAAGTGATCTCCCAGCTGGACATTGGAGGTAATTTGGAGCAGCAAGCAGAGTTGAAAGCTTTACTCACCGAATTTGCCGATGTGTTTGCCATAGGGGACGAGGAGCTAGGATTTACAGACAGAGTACAACATGAGATTAACCTGGTGGATGATGTACCGATTAACCTGCCATATCGCAGAGTTCCACCAAACCAGTACAAAGAGGTCAAGGAACACATAGCGCAGCTATTAAGAAAGGGTGTTATTCAGGAGAGTTCAAGCGCCTATGCGTCTCCAGTGGTGCTGGTGAGAAAAACCGACGGCAGTATTAGGTTGTGCGTGGACTACCGCAAACTAAATCTGAAAACCAAACGGGACGCTTTTCCACTGCCAAGAGTGGATGAGAGTTTTGATGTGTTACGAGGTGCCCAGTTTTTCTCAAGCATCGACCTGGCCAGTGGCTATCACCAGGTAGCTGTGGCAGAGAAGGATCGGCCTAAGACAGCCTTTACCACACCATTTGGGCTGTACGAACATCTGAGAATGCCGATGGGGGTGTGCAATGGGCCTGCCACTTTCCAAAGATTAATGCAAACCACCATGAATGATCTCATCTTTCAGATTATGCTGGTATATTTGGATGACATCTTGGTGTTCTCAAAAACGTTTCCTGAGCATTTGGAGAGGTTGCGGACTGTGTTGTTAAGGCTGCAGGAGACCGGACTCAAAGTCAAAGTAGGGAAATGCCACTTTCTACAGTCAACAGTGACGTTCTTGGGACATCAGATATCTGCTGAGGGTATAGCCACTGACCCTTACAAGATCTCTGCTGTGAAGCAGTGGGCAGTGCCCACCACTCTGAAAGCTCTGAGGTCATTCCTCGGTTTCTGCGGGTATTATAGAAGATTTGTCCCGGGCTTCTCAAAAATCGCTGGGCCGCTACATGACTTGGTCAATCAGTGTCTAAATGAAGGACCTCCAGCTAAAGTTAACCAAAAGGTAATCAATGGGTGGAGTCCTGAGTGTCAGGCATCCTTTGATGCTTTGAAGGAAAAACTAACGAGTGCGCCCGTGCTCGGATTTGCTGATTTCTCTGCCCCATTTATCCTTGAGACTGATGCAAGCAATCAGGGCTTAGGAGCCATTCTTCTGCAGCAGCAAGAGGGAAAGAAAAGAGTGATCTCTTATGCGAGCCGAAGGTTGCGGAATGCTGAAAGGAATGACAAGAATTATAGCAGGATGAAGTTGGAGCTGCTTAGCCTCAAGTGGGCAGTTACTGAAAAATTCAGAGGCTACTTGCTGGGTTCCAAATTTACTGTAATCACAGATAATAACCCATTATGTCACCTACACACTGCCAAATTAGGAGCCCTGGAACAGAGATGGGTGGCACAGTTAGCGGCATTTGATTTTGATGTTCAATACCGACCTGGTCGGTGTAATCAAGCTGCAGATGCATTGTCTAGGCAGCCCTTGGCAGGGGAGCCTGTGGTAGACATGGAAGATGCCGAATATGATGACTGTGTGACTATTTGTAGCCTGACACAACGTGGGACTCCTCTTGACGCTGAATTGATTCAAGCTGGAATGGAGAGGTGTGAGGTCCGTCAGATGCGCGCCGTGGAAACACGTGGGTTGGCAAGCACAGAGGCACAGGGGAGTACTGCTATTTGGCCTGGGTATTCTAAGGAGCAGTTGGCCACGTTTCAGACTCAAGATCCAGTTCTGAAGGAGTTCAAGGTCTTTTGGGACCAGAAACGTAAACCTGCAGGCTTGGAAGTAAAAACCCTGTCAAAATCCGTACGCTCGTTGCTGAAGCAGTGGAACCGACTAAGGGAAAAGGAGGGATTGTTGTATCGGGTAGTGGAGGATGTGCGTCACGGAGAGTGTTTCCAACTGTTAGTCCCCGCCTGCTTGAAAACTCAGGTGCTTGAGTCCGTCCATGCTGGTATGGGGCATCAGGGAATTGAAAGGACGCTGCAATTGCTGAAGCCAAGATGTTACTGGGTGGGAATGTATGGGGATGTTGAGCAGTGGATAAAGAATTGTCAGCGCTGTGTTCTCACTAAAATGCCTCAGCCTAGAGTACACCCGCCCATGAAGTCATTCCTTGCTAGCCGGCCTTTAGAAGTCGTGGCCGTGGATTTCACTTTACTGGAGCCAGCCGCTGATGGAAGGGAGAACGTTTTAGTTGTCACTGATGTGTTCACGAAGTTCACACAAGCTTTTGTAACGCGGGATCAGAAAGCTGACACCACAGCTAAAGTTCTTTTGAGGGAGTGGTTCATGAAATTTGGAGTTCCAGAACGGCTACATGCAGATCAGGGGCGCAATTTTGAAAGCGAGGTAATAGCAGAATTGTGCAAGCTGTATGGGGTTAAGAAAAGCCGTACTACTCCCTATCATCCCACTGGAAACGCCCAGTGCGAGCGTTTTAATCGCACTCTACATGAGCTGCTACGAACACTGCCTCCTGAGAGCAAAAGACGGTGGCCTGAACATCTAGCTGAGCTGGTCTATGCGTACAATGTTACCCCGCATTCGACAACAGGGTATTCACCTTTCTATCTGTTGTTCGGCGTCGACCCTCATTTGCCTGTGGATGCACTTTTGGGACGAGAATCAGGAGCTAAGCCTACTCATGACTGGTTAGTGGTGCATCAGAGACGGCTGAAGGAGGCTCATGAACGTGCCAAAGTCTATGCTGAGAAAAAAGCAGCAGAGCGAATTGAGCATTCTCAGGATAAAGTGTATTGTCCATCCATTGTGGTTGGCCAGATCGTATACCTGAGGAATCGACCACTGGGAAGGAATAAAATCCAGGACGCTTGGCATTCGACCCAATACCGGGTGATAGAGATTCAAGGGACCACTTATACGGTTGAGCCTGTGGAAGGAGGGCCATCAAAAGAGTGAATCGGGTGGATCTCAGACCCTGTGTGCATGTCCCTGCTCCAGTTGCCCGCAAGAGGAATGTTGAGTCTAATGTGGAAGTGGATGAAGCTTCAACAATTGATGTGGACGATGAGAGTTTGGAGGAGGGTGTAGTGCTCGTGGAATGTACTGGCCCAAGTGTGGTTGAACGTCTTGTACGGACTGAAACTGAAGCTGAACACGAAATGGAAGCCTCAGAAGTGTCTCCTTGTGATCCTGAGATTCCGGCTGGAATAGAACTTGGGGGAGGGTTTCAGGAGGAAAGTGTTTCTAGTTTGCCCACACTGCGAAGGAGTACCAGACCTAATGTGGGTCAACATTCAAATCCACACCATGAGCCTAGATCAGCCCTAAATCACAATGTTGTTTCTCAAATGATCGCTAATTTGGGTACCGTATTCTTCAGAGAAGCAGTTAAAGAGCTGAGAAACTCTTACACTGTCACCGAGGCCGTTGACATGTCGGCAGGGGAGAATGTAGCCGGGTGGTGTTTGAACTTGTAAAAAAGTACTTCCCCTTTAAGAAAAGCGAGCCCCTGATGATGACGTGTTAATAGCGCGCAATGCAGAGAGAAACGGAAAACAGCAGTGCATGAGATTAATCCATCCGTGTGTCGAGTATCATCCTTGATTTAATTGATGCTCTATGTGAGTAAATGTGATGATAATCATTTAATCTAGTGTCATAGGATGTGTTTGTTTCATCTTGTGCATGTGTATTTTGCGGATAGTTCGAGATGATCGAAGATGTTTGATCGCACGTGACTGCATTTTGAAATCTCTATAAAAGAGTTCGGTAAGTCAATTTTCAATGTAAAGTGCATAAGAAATGCGAATAACGTGTATAATATCCTGTATATGTTATATTTGATTCTGGTGACATGGTGTTTGAAAGCACATGATGAAAATGCTAACAGGGGTTTTGTGTTTGTGTAGGGTGCCACTACCGTGTTTGTGTTTGCTTTGAAAGTGTATTGTTTCATCCTGAAAGTGTGCCCTAACATTCGTAAATATTTGACATTGAGAAATTGACACTTTACTAAATTATCTGTTAAGATATTTTTTTGTTAATTATTCATTTTGAGTTTATATTCTTTTCCTTGGTTAAAGCATTACAGTGACCCCGTGTGGGGAATTTGAGTAGTGTGGTTGAGTGATAAATTATCACCTGTGACTTGTTGAACTACTCAGTTTAAAGCATTGAAGATCTTAAAGAACCTTTAAACAATTGATTGATTTAATAGAGGAAAAATAAAGCAAGTTGTAAAACGTGGTTCAGTGTCAATTGATTTGTTTTGTTAACTGGCAACAACAAGAATGTTTGAAGGACAGGAGATGATCTCTACTCACCATAGACTGAAACTCTGAAAGCTTTTACTGAGAAACTGTAATAATATCCTCTCATACTGTTGATCTGCAGTTTATAATCTCCAGCATGTTCAGTTGTGATGTTTGTGATGGTCAGAGACATAGTTTGTTTGTTCAGCTTCAGTCTGTCTCTGAATCTCCCGAGATAATCATCATATACAGTGATTCTGCCGGCCGTTACATCAATTTCAGCGATTAAAATGTTTTCATCACCAAACATCCACCGAATCCAATCATAATCCTTTATTCCAGTGATATCAGAGTTTATAGTGAGTGATTCTCCCTCCATCACTGATATTTCAACTGGATCAACAAACAGAAACAGATTTATTATAATAAACAAAAACAGAAAAGAAACAAAATGGTGTTTAGATTCATTTTGTTTAGTTTGATTAAAAAATAAAATGGTAAAACAATATTTAACCAACCAAAGACAGCGAGAAGGACTCTAATGACTGGAAACAACATAGATTCAGTTCTCCAGCATATCGTCTATAATATCCAGCATGTTCAGTTGTGATGTTTGTGATGGTCAGAGATCCAGTGTGTTTGTTCAGCTTCAGTCTGTCTCTGAATCTCCCATCAAGAACATCATCATATACAGCGATTCTGTCGGCCGTTACATTGAATTCAGCGATTAAAGTTTCAGTCTTATAATCTCCAAACCTCCAATAAATCTCATAATAACCCTTTATTTCAGTGAGACGAGAGTTTAGAGTGACTGATTCTCCCTTCATCGCTGACCTCAGAGTCAATGATCCTGATATCAGAAACACACACAGAACAAACACAAACAGGGTTTGTCAGATTAATAACGTGAAATCACTTAATAATGTTTTACTAAATAGTTTAAAATGTTAGTTTGAAATAATATCATAAAACAAACAAAAAGAATCAAAATGGTGAATGAATTAATTTAAATGTTGTCATTAAAAACAGGTGAAACAAATGTGTTTAGCCTCACCAAAGTTGACAATATTGATCCTTCTCTTCCTCACACCGTTGATCTGTAGAGAATAATATCCAGTCTGTTCAGTGATGTTTATGACGGTCAGAGATCCAGTGTGTTTGTTCAGCTTCAGTCTGTCTCTGAATCTCCCATCAAGAACATCATCATATACAGCGATTCTGTCGGCCGTTACATTGATTTCAGCGATTAAAGTTTCATCATCTCCAAACCTCCATTGAATCACATCATCATCCTTTATTTCAGTGAGATCAGAGTTTAGAGGGACTGATTCTCCCTTCAGCATAATCTTCCTTTCATATTCTTCATCATCATCATCATCATAATCTTCACCAAACACACCTGAAGAACAGAGTTTTCCACAAAGCTTTAAATCACTTGATGTTGGTTTGATGAAGCTTCACTAGAATAATTTTAATTCATTTAAATGTGATATTAATAATATTCTTCAGCAACACAAAGACAAAAGATGGAAAATGAAATAGTAGAAATAGATTTATATATGGAACAAAAACTAAAAAGACACTTTATCTTTAATGTTTTAACAAGTTCTAGGTTGAATTGACTGTTGCTGTATAAACTCATGCTGTGCTTCTTTTCTGTCTTTAGTAGATTTCTTAAACGTTATTGTGGATTAACTAACATTTACAAAATCAAATAAACACACAGAAGAAGCACAGCGTGTGCAAACTATTATATCCATATATCTTTAGTAGGCAAGGCAAGTTTATTTATATAGCACATTTCATACACAATGGTAATTCAAAGCGCTTTACATAGAAGAAATTAAAATAATCAAAAGAAATCAGAATAATTAAAACAGTTTAGAATTAAAGTAGAGTAACAGTGGGCCGAACAGTGTCACAGTGCTCATTCAGTAAATGCACAGCTGAACAGAAGTGTTTTGAGTCTGGATCAGTCTCAGTTCCTATTGATCGTGTCCTTGCAACAGGGTGGTATTGAAGATCTACGATGGAGGAACTAAAGCAGGTGCTGGAGGAACGTATTAACCGCCTAGAAGATCTAATCAACAGAGTGCTCCTCCGCTCGGATAATGGGTCCTGTCTAGTAAGCGTGCCAACAAATGCTAATGCTAATATAGCAAAACACGCTACCGTAAGACTAGAAAGCCCAATAAAACTGCTGAATAAATCTGAACTATTTCAGAGCGAACGGATGAATGAGTCGAGAACGCAGATCGAAATTCGAGAAAACGAACAATTTATTGACTCAGTGGCAGCTAATCTAGGGCTCGAGCCACTAGATAGCAACGGACACACCCAGGTTGATATACAGGAGCTTACCGGTGCTCCAAGTAGTGTTAATTTTACCAGCCATTTTTAAATTTAGTTTCAGTTTTAGTCCAGTTTCAGCATCGCTTGTTAGTTTTTATCACATTTAGTCGACATCATCCCATTTTTATTTAGTCTAGTTTTAGTCGACTATAAGTCGAGCATTTTAGTCTTTATTTTAGTCCAAGAAAACATAATTTTATTCGTTTAGTTTTAGTAAAAAAAAAACTGTCAACATTTTAGTCTAGTTTTAGTCAGGACATCATTTTAACCTTTTACTTTTTTGTCAGCAGATAATATTTAACATTTCCTAAAATTATTTCACAATTCAACATTTTCTCTCATCTTTTTGATAAAAAACACAATTTTAAGGAACACATGCAGACATGGAAGATGTTCTGACAATATTTGCATATTTATTTTGAACATTGTTAAGGTTCAAAGACACAAACACAAATGCTTGCATTAAAACAAATAAAATACACCTGACAAAGGAAACAAATAAATAAAATAAAGTGTATTATGAACTTAACACAAGTGCTGGCTGTTTAAAGCTAGTTCACATAGAATAATAAAATAAATAGATTTGAGGTCAATGTTGTGAAAAAAAAAAAACTCCAACTGATACAACAAAAGTGCTTTCCTGCCAGCTAGTTCACATGGTATATAAAGGTACAGTATTTAAGGTAAAACAAGGCATAGCTTGCTAGAACGTATGAAATCTTTTTAAAGCGTCTGTCTGCTTTAATCAAATGTAACTGAAACTATAGTTGCCCGGCCAGTATAACATATCTAAGTTAGCATAAATTTAACTTCACATACAATTCTATCAACAAGTGGCTACGGTCGCTACGTGCTAAGAAGCTAACGCAACATAGCCAGCCTGGATACTAAATGCTATGAAAGTTAGCCATCATTAGTTAGTTTATCATTGTAACAAAATGTGTCCATATATCACGTCTCTTCTTTCTCACGAGCCCCGTGCAAAGCATGTTTTACTTTTAACCTGTCGCCGCCTCACCGTGAATCCAGCTCCTGTCTGCTCCATGTGTTGTGTAGGCTACTCTGTGCCCGCCCGCTCCAGGTTTGAAAGTGGGTGTGTGGCGGAAGAGCTGACGAGGAGGAGGCGGAGGAGGAGACAGGATTTGACAAAACCATATCATATAATAATATGTAATTTTCGTCTCGTCTTTGTTCCTGAACTAAAATGTCCATAGATTTTAGTCCAGTCTTTATTTACCGAACTGCATTTTCGTCTCGTCTTTATTAGTCCACGAAAATTATTTCTGATTTACTCCCAGTTATTGTTTATTAGTGGGGATTTTAGTCTCGTCTAGTTTTCGTTCGGTGAAAAATGTGCGTTGACGAAAATATTTTCGTTTAGTTTTCGTTAACGAAATTAACACTAGCTCCAAGTCTGGACCACTCTGTCGCGGACTTGATCGACGGTCTTCCTAGGACGTGTGTTGATGCCACTGGTCTGGCTGGGGAGCCTTTCGGGTCGGCCTTCCCCGGTGGCTCGTCCTGTTGGTACAGGAACGGGGCTAGACCGAAGGCGTCAACTCCAGCGGGGACCTGGTCTGATGTTGTGCGACGCAGGGGGAAGTCAAACGGGAAATCAAGAATGAGAGCGCCTGTCTTCAGATCACCGCCTGAACTCGTGCTACAAAATAGGTACGAACCCCTGACTCAGAATGCAATGTCTGTAAATGAACCTAGGGACGCAAATTACAGCCCTCGTTTTAGGGGCACACAAAATCTAATAAATGGCACCAAAATTACTGATACTAGTATGGGCAAAAGAAGAAACTCTGCTAACCTTACGACTGATAAGCTAGATACGATCTTAATTGGGGATGATATAACCAAATATATCAGAATGGCAAAGACTGAAAATCTGACAATGCCTGATATATCGGTTCAAGAGCTAACTGAATTGTTACCAACTGTCCTTTCCACATATCCAACCACCATGCGGGTTATTATCCACATTGGGTCTTGTGACATTCTACGTAGGAAAACTGGATCTGAGATCCTAAAAAAGGATTTCTCTAAGCTATTGAAGAAAATAGAAAATCTTCAACAAGAAGTCTCTATCTCAGGCCCCATTCCAACTTTGGGAAAAGGAAGTGAATCTTTTAGCAGACTCCTCGGTCTGAACACGTGGCCGACATCGGCTTGTCTCGACCATGGGATAAAGTTCATTGACAATTTTAATGTTTTCTGGAATTGTAAGGACCGTTTTAGATCAGATGGGGTACACCCAAATGTCATGGGGTGCCGCTTGCTTGGTGCTAATATACGTCACGATGCTGGGATGCCTCTCTCAAACAAGACAAGTAAGAAGCACAGTATTCATAGGCAGAGCATCCATTCATTTATCCCAGCTTCTCCAGTTACAATCAGTCGATGCTCTCAGGAGTTGTCTTTGGCCAAAAAAGGGGCACAACACCACACACCTCTTTAATTACCATCTCTACCACATCCACATCCTCCGCAATTATATCCACCCTCCTCTCCTTCATTGCATTCACCTATTAGGGAGTTAGTTTTAACCAAAGAGAGCAGAGTTCAATCTTCTCCCTGTCCCACCCTGCCCCGGTATACTAAACGAGCACTTAGACAATTGCCGCATCGTCAAACATCCTGTCCATTGACTACACAGAGCACAAAAAACACTAAGTGACATGTTCCGGGTCCTTGTCATTGTGGAAATAATTATGCTGCCTGTGTTGAGTATAAGCTAGGACCCGGTCTCTCTATTCCTGTGATGATTGGAAATAGAAGAAATTATGATGACCGTGTAATTAACAAAAGAAATCTGTCTAATCTGTCAACTGTACTATGTCAACCAATTAGCTTAGGATCCCCTATTATATCTTTTAAATTGGCCTTACTTAATATTAGATCCCTTGCCAAAAAATCATTTCTAGTAAATGATATTATATCATCTTATAACCTAGATTTTATGTTTCTCACTGAAACGTGGCTCACAGAAAACTGTAGTGCAACTATCCTTAATGAAACAGCTCCTGAAAAATTTGTATATATGACAACATGTCGAAACGGTAGGAAAGGAGGAGGGGTGGCCGCCTTACTTAGAGATACATATCAGTGTAAAGAAAATAAATTAGGCCATTTTACTTCATTTGAATATTTGTGTTTTATATTAAAGGGTACTCCCAAAATTTTGTTTTTAACGATTTATAGACCGCCGAAATACTCTGCTGACTTCTTTGAAGACTTTGCTGAACTACTCTCTGTTATATCGGTTGATTTTAAGTTGTTTATCATTACAGGGGATTTTAATATTTATATAGATAATAGTACAGATAATAAGGTTAAAGAACTTTTTGCACTCTTAGACACTTTTGATCTTACTCAACATGTGAAAGAGCGTACACATACTCATGGTCATATTTTAGATCTGGTTATTTCTAAAGGTCTTGATATTCCATCTGTTATGGTTAAGGATTTAGCCCTATCTGATCATTTTTGTGTCTTTTTTGAAATTTTAATTACTTTGAACTTGCCAGTGAACTCCGTTTCTATTAAGAAGAGATACATTAATGAGAAAACTAATGTTCAGTTTACAGAAGCTATAGCCAGGCTCCCAATTAAAAGTGCTGACTCAGTTGATGCACTTCTGGATAATTTTAATACTAAAATATTGAATGTTATCGATCATATTGCACCGGCAAAAGTAAAGAGAAATATGAGCAAACAGAAGTCACCATGGAGAACCACCATGCCGGTAAATGCCCTTAAAAGAGAATGTAGGAAAGCAGAACGGAAGTGGCGGAAAACTAAACTACATATCCATTATGACATCTATAAACAAAGTCTTGGCAATTTTAATATTGCGCTACGCAAGGCTAGACAGCTCTATATATCGGAAATGATTAACAATAGTATTAACAATACCCGTACCTTATTTATCATGGTTGACAAGCTTATGAATCCAATACAGCAATTACCATCAGAGTTTGCATCTACTATGAAATGTAACGAATTTGCATGTTA